CTAGCCAAACTTGCAGTTCCGGGAAAGCTGCTTAAGTTCATTGTAGTTTGGATTTGGGTGGAAAGTCTGTTTTGGTTCTAGAGTTTTGCTCCCCTCTCGGCCCAGCTGCAGGCCCAGACGGGTCCTTGTTGGAAGTCAGCCCTCCTCCCCAAAAGGAGGAAGGGCCCTCCTGTCTGTGGTCTGAGGCATTGTACTCACTGGATTCCAGGCTGTCAGTGAGTACATGGGTGAGCTCCCGGGATGCTTAGCCTGCAGATTGTTTTGTTAGTTTTCTCCTGCAATTAATTTGGAAATTACCCAGCTACCCACAGCCTCTCCCAGGTGTTCTGTAAACTACAGGCCTGCTCCTGCAGCTTTTGCCTTGGTGGAACCGATGCTGGCTGAAGCTGGGAGGGTTCTGGGTGGGGTGACAGGAGTCCCACAATGGCAGGGCTTGTTTTTAGCAAAAGCCAGTTCCCTTCAGCTTGGTCACTAACCATCCTACTTTGTTGGATCTGAAGCAACTGGATACACATACTCAAAGACATTATCTTTAAGCCTCACATGCCCTGTGGAGATAGGCTGGGGGTGTGGAGAATCCACCCTACTCGGAGGCCCAAAGCCAGAGGATTCCCAAGCTCCAGTCAACACTAACAGGCGATTCTCCCAGCCTCCTGATTCCCACACCCAGGGAGGAAGGGGCCTTAGACTTCTGGTTCATTTTACTGAGGATTCATTACACCCTGGTTGAGGGTCGGTCCCTCCCGTGTGCAACGGTCACATGATCTTGAGCTCACTCATCACTCCCTTTTCTTGGACCTTAGTTTCCTCACCTGTAAAGGGTATATTTGAAACTTGCTGCTTCCCAGGGGAGTGTGAGGATCCAAAGAGATAACACCTGTGAAAGTGCTTGGTACCCCCTCCCCCCCGCCCCTGAACAAAGTGGCTTTTGGAAAAATGTCAGGATTATTATTAGTTGTGCTCCTACTGAGCTCCTGGAGCTGTGGAACAGTCCTAGACTAGGGTCTATGGTGATAACTGACTGTAACCTGGAAAGTTACTTTTTCTGGTTTCTCTTCCATAAAACAAGGGGTAGAGCTAGATAATGTTACCTGCATATTTATTTATAAGAATGGAAAGAGCCCAAAGGGAATAAATCAAGAATTAGTTTTACCTAGCCCTGTCAGAGTCACCTTCTGTATCAGTTAGGGTACATTTGTTTGTTGTTGTTGTTGTCATTGTTGTATTTGAGATGGAGTCTCTCTCTGTTTCCCAGGCTGGAGTGCAGAGATGTGATGTCGGCTCACTGCAACCTCTGCCTCCCAGATTCAGGTGATTCTCCTGCCTCAGCCTTCTGAGTAGCTGGGATTACAGGTATGCACCACCATGCCTGGCTAATTTTTGTATTTCCAGTAGAGACAGGGTTTCACGGTGTTGCCCAGGCTGGTCTTGAACTCCCGACCTCAAGTGATCCACCCGCCTTGGCCTCCAAAAGTGTTGGGATTACAGGCGTGAGCCACCGCGCCTGGCCAGCCACATGCCTGTTTCTCTTCCCATTTCTTGTTAAGACCAAATAAATGTGTTTCAGAAGTCCACAGCAGACTTTCCTGAACATCTCATTGGCCCAGAAAGTATCCTGTACCTATTTCCAAATCAGTCCCCGGCAAGAGTGATGGGATGATTACCGCGCTTACCTTATGCAAGTCAAGATTCACCACCAAGGGATAAGACTTCCCTAAAACACACTACCAACTGAAACCTGAACAAAATTAGGGTCTTGTGAGCAAAGAAGTGAAGAAGATGGTGGGTAGACAACTAGCAGTGCCTAGAACACCTTCTCAGATTTGACAAGATAAGCTGATATTTATATGCCAGAAAGAGGGTGGATTGTTTCATGCCTGTCTGGAGTTGCCCACTGGACAGTTGTCCTCAACATGGTCCATCTGGTCACCCCCAGCTCTGCCATCAAAAGCCCTGAGCACAGTCCCCAGGATAGGACACCATTCTTTCTTTATGAGCACCTGTGCAGGGAAAATGAAGGCAGACCCCACGTCATACAAGGTTGTCATTGGGTGAGGTTTTGATAAAAATTTGGGATAAAAGAATTGTTGTGATGTGGGTGGGGAAAGTTTTGAAAACATTCATATTAAATGTAATTTTTTCATAGTGTGAGAAACCCTTCATAGGACTGGTTGTGGAAAAGCCATGTTCCTAATTGCACTCCCAGTCCCGAGGTCTGGGCCTTTGTGAGAGAGTGACATGGTCTGGCTGGCCTTTGAGCTGGGTCACACATTGGCTGCTGTAGGGAAAACTGCCAAGGGAGCAGGGGAGGAAGCAGGGGCTCCTGTTGGGAGGCTGACACTGTGATCCAGGAGAGCTAAGAGGGTCCTGCTGGGCTGGAAGCTGTGGAGGTGTGGCATGGGGTTAGGTGGTTCCTGGAGAGGGAATGGTCAGGGCAAATTCATGATGACGGGAACACATGGGAGTGTCAGAGAACAGCAAGTGGTGTGTTAGCTGCAGCCTAGGGGTGTGGGAAGGCAGCTATGGGAGATGCAGCTGGCAAGAAGGTTGACATAAGGATCACTGAGGGTCCCAAGTGTCAGGTGAGGCGCTGAAGCATTCTACTGCAAACAGCAGGGAGCCTACTCCACAGGGCTGGAGCACAGCCTCAGGGAGGTAAGGCTGGCAGCAGGGATATAATGGAGGCAGGAGTACCCTTGGGAGGTCCTGGCTGGCTGCTGGGGCCATGAGCAGAGATGAGAGTTGAGTCCTTGTAGGCGGTGGCTTTCAATTTATTGCCTGGTTGCAGAGTGCCTCCATGCCTGAGAAACCATGGCTGGGGCCCTACCCTGGCCACCCCCACTTGAGAAGCTGTTCCAGGTTCTCAGATAGCGAGATAAACCGGTGCTCTGCACCATGGCTGAGATCCACCCTGATTCTGGCTTCCCAATCTCTTCCTCGCCCTGGGAGGGGCTGACAGCTGTTCCCCAGGCCTTTCTGACTATGTACTTCCTGGTTAACCCTTCTGGGCTGAGCTGGAAATCTGAGCTCTCAGAATAGGGAGTGTGGGGCTGGCTGAGGGGCTCAGGGACTCCACAGGGAACAGACAGCCTTCCTCTTTTGAGGCCAAGTATTGAGGACGATGCCAGGGTCTCTTCTTTGGCCTCAGCCAGAAAGAGGAGATGCTGGAGAGAGGCAGGGGCAGGAGAGCAGAACTCATTACCGGTCTTCCATCTGCCCCCCTCCCTGCCACGTGTCCATCCCATTTAAAATTTTGTTGGCTGCTTAGTTTGGCCTGAGAAGCACTAACTACACTACTTTCTAGGTAGTTCTAAGCTATTTAACAGGGAAGTCCATCCCTCAAGCTGCACTCCATCCCCATTCCTTAGCCCCTACCTTTACATCTTCACCAGATTACTTTTACTTCCATATTATCTTCATTAAGATGATAATCAAATGCAGTCTCCATTGGGGGAGGCATTGGTTCTAGCCCAGGTTGGACACTTTTAGCTGCGAGATCTTGAGCAAGTCACAGGCCCCTTCTTTGGCTCTATGGAGGCTCCACACACACTCCCAGTATTCCTATTTATTCCTGTTGGGAACTTATACAAGCAGTGAGATGAGAGTCCTGGTTCTCCCTGTATTAGGGAATCCTGGGAACATGCGTTCCCAATCTGGGCCCCTGCCCCGTCCTTCATAATACATGCCCTGGTCTGAACTGCTTTTCATCGGGGACATTTCCACCACCACCACCACCCCCAGCCATCTTGTCATGCCTACCCTCAGGAACAGGCTGAGCACATACAGAAAGCCAAGCTCAGAAAGGTGTATGTGTTTGAGGCAGGGGAGGGTTCCTTAGGGCACTGAGGGCCTTAGAGTTTTCTACTAGAGGATCCCTCTGCCTAGACTGACTTGGAGACAGGGACCCCTTCCCGTTGGCCATTGTGTCCTGAACAGAAAGTTTCATTTTTCTTCCAAACCCTCAACTACCTCAGACTTGGGGCCAGAGCAGACGGGTCAGAGGCAAAGTTTATTCCATACTCAGGCAATTGACTGCTGCTTAGGGAGGGTATAGAGATTGAACCCAAAGTCCCTACAGTGCCTCCGCCTGGAGTCAGGACCTGGCTTCCTGCCCTGGCTCTGTCACCCCAGCTTTCAAGATGTTTCCAGATATACTCTTGTTGAATGTCATTGTCACTGTCACCCATAGAGCTGGAAACAGGAGGTGAGGTGCAGTCTAAGGGTAGGATTCCAAGACTCAGAAAGTACCCAAAGGAGGAGATGAAGCACTCCACCCCAGCTCTGTCCCCTTGCCACTCAGTCCTCTCTGCCCTCTGCAGTCAGAGCCAGAAGGTAGCCTTGCAGTGCTAGCTGGGGTTCTAGGCCAGAAACAGAAGGCTTCTGGAAGTTATTCTGGCATCTCTAACCTCAATAACACATTGTTTCGTATTTTTCAAAGTTCTTTCTGTTTACTCAGGTAATAGGAGTCACCCAAAGGTTTTATAGAAAGGCAGGTTCTGGTCTGGGAGGTCAGAGGACCAGCATTGCTAGCAAGCTTCCAGGGAACGTCCTTGCAGCCGACTTCAGTCTCCTGAGTAAAACAACAGGAGAACTTGCCTCCTTTCGCCCCCAAGCCTCCCTCCTGGCCCTTGTAGAATCGCATATTGCATTCAAGTGAGCAAACGAAGAGGAGTTAGAGAATGTGAAAGGGTAAGAGGGGACCTGCTCCCAGTTTTATAGATGGGGAAACAGGCCCACCCCGTGCCAGAAGGACCTTGTTCAAGACCTCACAGCAATTCAGTGACAAAGTCAAGACCCAGGCCTTTTGTACAGGGGAAAAGACAAAAGCAAAACCAAAATCCAGAAAAGATATTCACATAGGCGTTAACTGTGCATTCTCTGGGCCAACTACGGGTTCCTTTGGCTTTTTTCCAGTCTTTTGTTGTTGCTGCTACTGTTATTTCCCTCCCTCTTTATTTTTCTTACCTGTTATTTCGTTTAAAACAATGAATACGTGCTGATTTTGTAATAGGAAAAAAATTTTAGTGAAATTAAATTCTCACAAAGTTCTTAGTAAATGAGATTATGTTCATGAATGTGTTTGGTAAACTATAACTCCACAGGGCAGCTCCAAGTCATCGCTGTGTAGTTCGGCTCAAACTGTCCAGAAGTCATTTCGAGGACGTTACCCTTACTCTACTCGGAGCCCAAAGCGCCCAGATGAGGAAAGCCACCGCAGCCGCCTAGGCCAACTGCCGCGAGCAGCTTCCTGCTCCCCCGTCGTCGCCTCTGCGGTCGGGGCACTTCCCCCAAAGCGCTGGCCGCAGGAATCTTTCCCCTTAAGTCGGGGAAGAAGGTTCTCTAATCCATTTTCCGCAGTGAACGACCTCGGGCCAAGTCTGCTTTTGTTGCTGGTTCTCTAAGCTTAATTGCAAGCAAACTTAATTTGAAAGAAAATTCATGATACAGCTCTAGGGCGAATTCTAACGAGCCTTGGGCAATTAGGGAAGAACGCGTCTAATTATCCACAGCCCCGGGGCGCCTGCAGACGATGCGGGGGGTGGGGTGTGCAGGGGCTGGAGAGGGACAAACGATTTTTCTGTTCATAAAATGAAGAAGAAAAAAATAAAAAGAAAAGGCGCCTCCAGTCTCTGAGCCCTCAGATGAGGGACTGGGAGGACCCGTCCCGTAGTTTGCAAACTCCTACTATTAGAAAGTTCCAAGACGTACAGCGGAATGTTTTCAGGATCTCAGTCATGCGGGCTAAGGGGGCCGCCCGCGACCCGGCTGTGGGTGAGGCTTGGGGGCGGCGGGCACTGTCTCCGAGGCACTGGTTCCCCTGCGCGGCGCCCACACCCGGCCCGGGCGGTGCGCGAACTCAGGGTGTCCTCGGCCGACGGAGGCTGAGAAGGGCCGTCGCTCTGTCTTCAATGCCTTGATCCCAACCATCGCGCGTCTCCGTGCCATCGCGCGTCTCCGTGTCCCTTGGGTTCCTGCAGCACACACTCAGATCCCTCACCGCAGCGTCCTTTCTCTCCCGGTGCTGACCCTCGCCCTTGGCACAATCGTACCTGTCCCCCAAGTTGACACAAGAATGGGGGACGAGCACACCCGCTGTTTCCCAACCTGTTTTTTTCCTTCCCGGGGCTTTACCGCGACACTCCAGGAGGGTTTGTTACAAGCTCTTATTGAAAGCCTTTCAGCCCTGCTATGCCCAGCGCTTTACAGTTTACAACGCACTTTTCACATCTCCTCTTGCTTAACTTCAGGAAAATTATCTGAGGTAGCAGTCACAAATTCCCATTTCACAAATGACGACCGGAGAGGAGAAGGGACTGGCTTAAGGTTAATGGTGCTGTCAAAGCACTGAACTTGCTAATTAGGAAACAGAAAGGCTCAACTCTGGCACTAACTGGGTGCAAAAACCAGCCTTCTCCAGACCAGTCCTGCACCTGGGCTCTTCCCCAGCCCAGAACAAAACTTTTGGGCAGAGGACTCTTACTTTCCCATTTGTCCCAACCAGGCAAGGCATCCTGACCTCTGCACCTGGGACAGCCAGCTTGTCTAGCTGCATGGTAGAGAACCCTTGAACTCCATACCTGCAAAGGTTCGTAGGGAGAGAGGATGGCAGCCCAATACCTGCACTCTTCCAAGAACACAAGTCTGGGTCTGGGATTTGGGCCCACGGGTGGCAGGGTCAGGGCTTAAGTGCCTTGAACCTCCAGATGGTCATTGACTACCACCAAAGCCGGGAAAGGCCAGCATCTAGAGCTGCACGGTGTGACACAGTGTTGCTACTGAACGCCTGGCAAGTGACTAGTCTAAATTTAGAGAAGCTGTAAGTGTAAAATACACTCCAAGGCAGGGGGCGGTGGCTCACATCTGTAATCCCAGCACTTTGGGAGGCCAAGGCCTGCGGATCACGAGGTCAGGAATTCAAGACCAGACTTACAAACGTGGTGAAACTCCGTCTCTACTAAAAATACAAAAATTAGCTGAGTGTGGTGGTGTGCACCTGTAATTCCAGCTACTTGGGAGGCTGAGTCAGGAGAATCATTTGAACCCAGGAGGTGGAGGTTGTGGTGAGCTGAGAGTGTGCCATTGCACTCCAGCCTGGGTGACAGAGCAAGACTCCATCTCAAAAACAAAACAAAACAAAAAACCCTCTAAATTGTAAAGCCTTCATGTGAAAAGAGTAAAACATCTCCATTTTTATGTTGATATCATAGTATTTTTTATATGTTGGGTTAAGTATATCATTCAAATTAACCTCACCTGTTTCTTTTTACTCTACTAATGTGGCTACTAGAAAAATTAAAATTACGCATGTGGCTTTCACCCTATTTCTAATGGAGAGCACTGATTTACACAAATCCCCATTTGGACTGAACCAAGTTCTCATGTCTTCGTTAACAGGATAGCGCAGTCCCCAAATTAAAAAAAATTAAAATTACCAATGTTTTTCATACAGTCTTCTTTTTCACACTCCCAACCTTTCCCTGTCAAGTTTATACAGAAGAGGCTGAGTTTCTCTTGCCAGAACTCACTTGCTCAAAGATTTTTATTAAAACAGTCCACCCGAACACTCCAGTTTATCTAAAAGCTGTGAATGGAACCTCTGAAACATTTAATGTTGAAAATGTTTGCTCTAGAATTGAAACTTATAAGTTTTCTCAGGGGAAAGGTGGGAGAGATATTGGACTTTCTGATTTTAGTGAGCTGCTACTTAAGCAAGATCCAAAACAAGTTAAAATTCCAGTTTCTTTCTAAAGCTCACTTTACGGACTGCCCCAATTTAATCTTTCTCTTTTCTTGTTGCATGGGGAGGCTGCTGAGGTGTAGCAGGGGGTGCTGGGGATGGAAGGGCCCACCCCAACTACTGAAAAGTGTCACCAACAGCCTCCCCGAATCCTCTCATCTCCTTAAACTTTAGTTCACCCATTGGGTCCAGGGCTGCTTGATGACAAGAAACTGAACAAATGAACGAATGTATTTCTATCTGCCTTATAATGGAAAACCAGATTTATGACTCGGCAGTAACAGCTACTGAATGACCAGTACATCCTGCTCAAAAGATCGATAAGTTCTGATATAATTGCTGCCTGGAGCCAATCCTGGCATTTTAGGTTAGATGCTTGGCCATGAGCTTCTTTTCCATTCCCTAGAACAGCGGCTAGGCTTTGGGTGGCTACTCAGAGGTCCTGAGTGGCCCATCATTGCTGCCAAATATGCAGGGCAGCATCCAAGATGATGGGGCTCTGAATGACAACCTGGGGCGGTGGGTAGAGTCCTGCAGCCCTCTCGAGTAACAGATGGGAGAGACTGAAGGTTCAGGTGATGGGACTGGGGCGCTGAGGCACAGTTCAACTCAGAGCTAGGTCTCAAGTTCTCAGAGGCAGGGAAAACCAGCCCGAGTCAACTAGAGCAGAGATTTCTCCTATTTAAAAAAGAAGAAAAGGCTAATTGTTTTGCAAATTTGTCCTCACTTTAAGAGGAAAGGCGCTGCTGCGGAGCCTTTCATTGTAGTAACGCAGTTAAAGGCGCTAGAGGCCGAACCGCGTAAAAGGAGTCGAGTTTCCAGCAGCACATGGAAGGCTGAAGTTAAGTGATTCCCCACAATTTGGATTCTGGTCTCTGGTGTTGACACTACGCTGCCCTCTGGTTACCGCCAGGGACCCTCCCCGAGGAATGCCAGAAAGCATCTCCTTTGGGGGCTTCGCCCCATCGAGGGTCCCTGTGCCAGTCCAAGGGTTCTGGCTGCCTCGACCCACCTCCTCCCATTTACAAAGTAAATCCGGTGCATTCGCTGTGCGCGGGGAGACTGAGCCTCTGGGGCCCTCTCCATCCCTTCCACGTGGGTCCCTACTGAGTCCTCTCTCCAGTCCTGTTTTCGGGTTGCGGGAAACGTAGTTCGTGTGAACAGCCGAGGTATCTATGAGTTTTTGTTCATACGCTCGGCTCACATGGCGGACACGAACCGATCTATCCCGCCGGAATAGGCAGCTGCATGACGAGCATGGTAGGCGCCTGCATTGCCACCTCCGAGCTGCCCACCAGGGTTGTAGCAGGGCCCCAGAGCTCCGAACTGGCCGGGCGACGTGCGCCCGTAGAAGTCCACCGCGGTCTCCACGCCGCCACTGCTGCCTCCCGTTGGGGGCGAAGCGGGTCCCGCCAGGCGGCCGGCAGCGGCAAAGATCGCGCTGCCTGCGCCCTGCGGGTACGCGCTGTCGGGGCCCGCGAAGGTGGCAGCATAGGCCGGGGGGTTGGCCTGTCGGGCTCCGGTGCAGCCTGCGGGCTGGTAGCCGGTGGTAGCGGCGGGGACGCCAGCTGAGGCAAAGGCGCAAGAGCCGCGGGGCCCCGACGGCGCGGGGCCCAGCTCTGGGCTGAGCGGCCGCTCAGGAACCAGGCCGAAGACGCGGCAAGGGCCGGGCGACGCCGCGGGGTAGTAGACCGGAGGCGGCGCGGCCAGCGACGGCGGTGCATAGCCAGCATAGACGGCGCCTGGGTAGGGCGGGCGCGCGGCAGGCACCGCGCCCGGGAAGATGGCGGCAGCGGCTGCGGCGGCTGCGGCTGCGGCGGCCGCCGCGTCGTGCATATAGGCTGGGTAGGTGGAGAGGTCCGAGCGCTTGAAGCGCTTGCGGCGGCGCAGGAAGCTGCCGCTCTCGAACATGTCCTCGGCGTTGGGGTCGAGCGCCCAGTAGTTGCCCTTCCCCGGGCGGCCGGCCTCGCGCGGGATCTTGAGGAAGCAGTCGTTGAGCGTGAGGTTGTGGCGGATGCTGTTCTGCCACTTCTTGGGGTTGTCGCGGTAGAAGGGGAAGCGCTCTGTGATGAACTTGTAGATGCCGCCCAGCGTGAGGCGGCGCTCTGGCGCGTGCGCGATGGCCATTGCGATGAGCGCGATGTAGCTGTAGGGCGGCTTCCCGCGCTGCAGGGGGCGCTTGCGGCGGCGCCCGCCCGCCCCACGGCCCGCGGCCTCCCCCGGGACCCCGGCCCCTGCCGCCGTCTCGCCGCGCTCCTCCTTGACTGTAGCCAGCACCTCCGGTTGTGGCGGCGGCGGCCCGCTCTCGGCCGTCATGACACGGGCGTCCCGCGCCCCCGGGCTCTGGGTCCCCGCCGCTCTCGGGGGGCGGGGGCGGACCTGGGGTCCCCGGAACGAACGCTCGGCCCCTCTGCGGAGACTCAGGGCGGCCTTGCGGGTTGGCCCCGAGAGCACAGCGGCCCAGGCCGGCGTGCGCTGGAGGCTCGGCGTCCGCCGTCTGGGGCTGGCGCGGTGCAGATGAAGGCTCGGGAGTGACCCGCCCGCCGACGGCTCAGCCCGCGTGGTGCAGCTCGAGGCGGGCAGCGGCGGTGGCCTCAGGACCGGGACTGGGCCCCGGTCGCCGGCTGAAGGGTCCCGTGCGCGCTGGTGCCTGGCGGTCGAGGGGTCCAGAAGTGATCCCGAGTTTGGGGTGGCTGCAGCTGGTCTGGGGTGCCGGCTGGTTTGAGGATTACCGCCGAGGTTGTGCACACAGAAGAGGTTTCGGGTTTGAAGGCCAGAGCGAGGGCAGTTAGTGCAGGCGCGGGGCGATCTGACAGGGGCCGCCCATGCCCTGCCCCTGAGGCCAAGGCGGCGGGCCGCGCCACAGGCAGAGAGGCGAGGAGAGGGCAGCGAGGTCGGTGCGCGGGCCCAGGCGGGGCTACCTGAGGCTGCTCCTCTCCGCCGCGTGAGTCTCCTGCCCTGCGGACCGCTGGCGAGGCGCTCCCCTGCACACGCCTGGACCGGCTCCTCCCTCCGCCGGCTTCCCCTCCTTAAAGGGGCCAGGAAGCGTGGGGCGGCACCGGTTCCCTGCCCGCCCCCTGACTGCCCGCCCCCGGGGCTCGGGCGCACCTCCCCAGGTAAGCAGTTGTGGCGGCGCGGCTGGAGCCCCACAATGTCAGGGCGGGGAGGGCGCTTGCAGATCCCCTGGGCCGGCTCCCTCCGCGCCGGGATCAGGAGACCTCGGCGCCCGAACTCAGAATTTTCGGACTTCTCAGGCCTCTGCCAAGGGCTGGGACTCGCAGGTGAAAGAACCGGCTCGTCTCATTTTTTTTTGTCCCGAGAGGGTGAGAATTGGCCGAGAGGGCGCCAGGTGTTTGCGGGAATAGGGAGGGAGAAGTTCCTGGACACCGGCTCCTAGCACCTTTCAGGATGGTTTCCAAAACCTCAAACGTGGCTGCCACAGCCACTCGGCAGTCCAGTCCTCCCATCTTTAGATGAGGATTCCTAGGCCGGAAAGGGAAGGTGACTTGCCGTGGCCCCACGGCAACTTCTCCGCTTAGCAGAGTCTCCAACCTGCGTCTCTTTTAGACTGAGCTTCCTCACTGTGTGGTAGAGGTAGCCACTTTCCCTTTTAGGGCCCCAGGTCCCTCGACTATACCGAGGGTTTGGATCTCTCAAAAGTCTTTAAGAGGCAGATATTTAGGGAAAGGCCACTTTCTTACCCCCAATCATCCGTCTTTGAGAGGCCCAGGATCCCTCTCTATCTGATGGATAGTGGAGCACGGATTACGCAGGATAGGTAACTTCCTCCTCCAATTCCCCGGAGCCAGGATAGCTCTGAAGACCCTCAGAGGCAGCCAAGCAGCCCCTTCCCGCAGCATGAAATGAGGGCTGCGGGTTATGGGGGAGTGGGGAGAGAGCTGCGACGGGTGGGCACGTCTCCAGGGGAAGGGGCGGGCAGTCGGGACATGTATGCTTCCATGAGTGTCCAATTTCTGAGTTCCTTTCCTACTCTTCCTGAGCCGGGACTTGGTCCTAACCTGAGATCCTGGCGGCGTGGCCCCTCTGGCCTGGGTCGCTCCCTGGCCATTCAATGGAAGATCCAGGGCCTGTCCGGTCCCCTTTCAGGGCCTTAGTGTTCTACTCTGTTAAATATCGGTTGGAGGGCATGTGCTGATCTCCGAGGCCCATTCTAGCCGTAGGATTTGAGCCCTTGGCCCGGGTTCCAGTGGCTCCAGCCCAGAGGCAGCTTTCCGGGGCCGGGGCTGTGTGTGCAGGGCCACGCGGAGAGTGCCAGGCGAGCATGGGCTATCCAGGGTTTTCGTCGCGTTGCGTTCTTCGTGGTGGTGAGATGAGGGCGGGCTTAGACTGGCCAAGTGTTGGGGAGCTGCCTTCGGAAGAGCGAGGCAAAGCCCAGATCCTCGCTCAGTCTACCAGTTGTGTGTGGAAACGCTCGAAGCGTTTTTCCCCCTGTGCCGGGGGACAACCTTTGCCTGCAGAGGGGTGGTTGAATGAAGGGAGAGGGGCTTTACACTCGCTAAACAAAACTCTTGGCTTCCTTCTTCCGAAGTAATGAAGAAGCAAAAACCCAGATTTCGTCCTGTTTCGTTTTTACAAAGGGGGAAAAACTTGAAATTTTAAAAATTTAACTGGATTATATTATAGGCATCCTTTAATACTGAATTCAGTGGTTCTCAGTATTTTCAAGATGATTCAGATATCCAGATTTTAAATTCCGGACGACCATTGTCTTAACGCGATTCCATAAATCTAGAGAATGTGATCTTGTAATTCTAAGATTCCATGACTGGGAGTCTAACTTCTTTGACTATGCTTACATTCCTTTGACTTAAGCTTCTAGTCAAAGTCTAAACCCTATATATTAAGATACTGGTACTAAACCAGGCATGGCTGGAGCCTGTAGTCCCAGCTACCTGAGACTAAGGCAGGAAGATGGCTTCGTGCACAATCATTGTGCCTGTGAATAGCCACTGCACTCCAGCCTGCACAGCAGAGGGAGACCCAGTCTCTTAAAACAAAACAAAAAAAAAACTGGAACATTAAGATTTTGTGCCTGAAAATATGATGCCACTCTTGAAGCTGCTACTTCTCTAGTTTTTCAATTTTTTCCACTCTAAGTTATATATTTAATTGGAATTCCTGTCTAGAAATGTCTGATTGGAAATTTGAATCCTGTAAATCCACAATTCTCTTTTTCCTTAATTCTAAAATGTTAGTGCTGGATCCACTATTCTGTAGCTCAGATAATCTGATTCTAATAATTCTTCTAATGTTCATGATTGTATACTTTAATGATTAGTCCCATGACTTTATTATTCTCTACTTTTAAGCTGCAACAACTATGATTAAAAGCCTTCATGTCTCAGGATTTTCTGATCGTCAGTGTCTTGTCTCTATGATCTCATTCTTCTAGAATTCTGATTCTTTTCTCAAACTTTATTGATATCAAGCTACTCCTGTGGCACAGACCGAGACCTAGAATCATGAGATTAAGAATTTCCAAGATCATGATCCTAAGATTTTCACAAAGGACCCCTAAATTTCTATCTCATAAATATTCTATTCAAATAACGCATTTGAAGATTCTGTGAGTCCACAGTGAGTTCACATTGAATGATTTGGTGAGCACACAGGTCACAAGTTTACCCGTTTGGATCAAAACCATACATAAAAATCTCCTTGGTACCTCAGTGCACAGGCATTTCCTTACTCTTCCCGTTGCTTCCTTCTTGGTTTCTTGAGCAGGAACGTGGTCGTGGCCAAGTTCTCCCCTCTCCTCCGGCACAGTGCTCCTTAACGTTTGTGAATCATCTGGAAGCTAGGAAGGGCAGGTTTCAGTCCCTTGTTGATGTGGGTAGGCCAGTGATTTCTGTCTGCTTCCTGCTGGTCTTCAGCCCTTCAAGTGTTCCCAGCACCCTTGGAGAAGCCTGCCTGCAGCAGGCCATTTTGTGTGCATAGGGGGCTAGGGTGGGGAGGGGGCGCTATTGGGATCTGTACAAGACATTCTTCTGCAACAACTGCTTTCTCCAGTTTTGAATTGTCCTTGGAGACTTTGTAAATAAAAACAAGAGGGTTTCAAGGAGTCAGGGAAAATTCCTCCAGATTCCTTGATGGAGATTCCCCGGCTTGCAGTTCTTCTATTTAAGGAAATCACTCTGGATTATGGAAGGGACTTGTAGAGAGGAAAGCCTTGGGCTGAGAGGGAAACTTAGGTCTTTTTCTTTGCCCCAAAGCCTCTCTGTCGTTTCCTGAGTTCTGAGAGCTTCACTTATACTTAATTCTTTGGCCTGGGCTGCCCTTTTTACTGCATAACAAAACTCCAGGCCTCCACACTTGCAAATCTGATCCAAGGATTTCCTGGCAGCAGCTCACAGTGACCTCCGTTTGGGTTTCTCCGGTGCATTCTGTCTGGGTCAGTGGGCTGTATGGCCCCAGAGAGCATCAGAGCAAGACACTGCCACAAAAGGGGGCCCCAAGTCACACTCAGCCCTCCTGATCCCAGAAGACATGCTTCTAAAGCAGCACCATTTGTGAGGGCTTCCACCCAAATCACTCAAGACCCACCCAGCGACTTTAAACCATCCACTGCCCTTCTTAGGCCCCAGCTTCTCCATCCGTGAAGTGTGTGTGTGTGTGTCCCATATCTACGCCTTCTCTTCCACAGAGTCGAGGTGATAAAGTGGAGCGCATTACAGACGCACGATCGTGTTCTTCTTTTTAAATTGTTTCAAGGCAAAACTTGGACTAGGAAAAAAAGACAAGACGCTGGGGAAAATTCCAGCCTGTTCTACTCACGGGTCGTGATGAAATGCGCCCCCTCCCCACCCCGTCCCACGGAAGAAGCAGCGGTTGATTAAAGTATAACATTTTCTGCGGACTAGCCCGGGATTTTGAGTCTCCGAGGCTCCCGCAGGCATGGACCCTTTCGTCTCACCCAGCACCGCGAGCGCTCTCTCCCTTTGAGTTGGTCCACTTAAACACTATCAACAGAGAATCACTATCACCTCGTCACTCAGTGACAGGATAGAGGATCTTGGGGCCCAGGACTGGGAGCCTTCGGCTTCCCACCTCCCGGTTTGCTTAGATCCCGCCACCAACGTTTCTTCCGTAGATAAGATGCACCTAGCCTCTCCTACTTCCCTCCCCACAAACCCTCCCACAGAGTCCTCTCCCAGCACAGTCTGCTTGGGCCGGGGCACTCAGGGTCCTCAGAGCAGCGGGGAGCTCGGGAGCCTGCTTGGAGGTCCAGGAGCTTTGCAAACGCAATGAGAAGGGGAAGTCGGCTTCAGACAGTGCGGACTTGTCCCATTACGCACAGCATATTGGGAACAGAGTCAAGCCGGACCCTGCCCCCGCTCCGGGTTGGCTCCTTGCGCTTTTCCTGCGTTCCGGACCAGAGGACCACGAAGCACAGGTCACCACCCGTGTCTGATCCAACCTAGGCGGGCGGGTGGGAGTTCAGCTGTGGTGGTGGGCAATTCCAGCAAAGCCGTGGCTTGGGGCAAAGGTGGCAGCCCGCAGGCACATTTCAATTAGGTTCTGGAACCCTGGGCACAGGATCGGCCCCCAGACAACGTCGGGAGTCCAGGTTTCTTGGTCTGGGTCCGAAATCGGTGCGCAGCTTTGGAGCACTTGGAAACCTGAAAGTTGCACAAAAGATTGTGGGTGTTTATCTCAGGAGGGAGTCCATGGTTTGCAAGACAAACTCAAAAGAGCGGATGATTACTCCCCTTCCCCTTAAAAAGGGAGATGTGTTAACCTGGATTCTAGTTCAATCACTAGAGGCACGGGAAGAGGCAGTGACTTTTTCCTCTTCCCCAGGCCAGCCTCTGCTGGGATTCCTTCCTGAAGCTCAGTCCGGCCGCCTGAGGAGAGACAACGGGGCTGGTTGCCTCCCGGTACAGCTCAACCCGGTTGCTCGGCTGCTTGGCGCCCGAGGCCTGAGGTGGACAGTTGGGAGGTGGCGCGGGGAGCTGGAAGACACTTGAACCTGGATACTGGAGAGCAGCCAGCTCTCCTCTGGCCTCTTCCCCACTCCCCCTCGGGCTGTGATGTGTGTGTGTCTGTGTGTGTGTGTGTGTGTGTGTGTGTCCGTGTCCCTAGTCCTGGAGCGGGCGTCTCTCTCAGTTTCTTCGTAGGTCTTTTTGCTTCTTTGAATATGTGTGCATGTGTCCTGCCTTTCTGGGCGCATCTCCCTGGGGTCACCCGCAAGACAGCCCGCGGACTGGAAATAAGGGGACCAGCTGCACACTCCAGCCAGGTCCCAGTTGCCCA